CGCCATTGCAGCGGCGCTCTCTCCGGCAAGGTCCGACCCGGGATTTTTCTCGTCTATTTTGTAAGCTCGCCTTGATGTCGTCATGTCCTCCGACCGTTGCCAGCAGTAATGATCAGTGTCCCCATCACCAACCTAGGAGCACCACATTGAACTGTATATTAAATGTGCTCAAACAGTTTTGTGCTAATTAACTAATTGATTTAATCACTAACTGCTAATTGATTTAAGGGAGACTTTGGATGCGGTCCCTAGTTATGAACAATCTTTGACTGAAACTTTGTTGGTTTTCAATTTTTGATCCAAGTCCCTAAAATTAATTGATAATTTATTTCTATGTACGTTACTATATTTTTTAAATTAAAAATTAAAATTTATAGTTGTTTATAGTAATGAGATTTTAAATAAAAAACATAATTTGTGGGATTAAAAATATTAAAATATAAATATACTATTGTGTGTGTGTAAACATGGGTACGTTCATAAAAAATAACCAAAAAATGATTGTATCAAAACATGGGTACATTCTTCAAAATGGGTACATTTAGCAAAAATAAAAATGGGTACAAATAAATAAAAAAAATATGGGTACAATACAAATAAAACTGTAAAAAATATGGGCACAAAAAGAAATTAATATATGGGTACAAATTAAAATTGAAAGGAAAATTGGTACAAATTAAAAAAGGGTTGCAAATTAAAAATGGGTACAAACTAAAAATAAAAATATATGATAAAAAATTTAGCCATAAATATAAATATACTAATTGTAACATTTTTAATATTAAATGAATATATTTAGAAATAAAAAATATTTTATTATTGAAATAATTAATGATATTATTAATACAAAGGACCTTGATCAAAAATTGAAAAGTAATAAGGTTTTAATCAATAGAGTAGTAAAAATAAGGATGAAAACCTAATTACTCCTTGATTTAATCACTATGTACCTCTGCCCATAACACATTGGGACTAGTGTGAGCTTTGATGAAATAATCAGTCCCCCATTTGATCGCCTCCATTGCATGTTCCAATTCTCCGGCGGCCGCAATCTGCTGCCGGTATTCTATAACACTCCAGGACAGCATCGTCACTGTAAATGCCATCGGCAATCCGAACTTGACGTGATCGCCGGCATCATAATATCCTCCTACCAAGTCCACCTACATCAAAAGATGTATACACTTAAAATTTTCTATTAGTAGACTTAATTATGAAATTAAATTTTTGGGACATTAACGAACCCCTTGCTCTAGGCCATCGGTGAGGCCGGAATGGCCGCGCCAGGTGACTCTCTGGTTGTACGGCAGGCGGCCGGAGCGTTGTGATTCGAAGTATAGGAGACTCTTTGTGAGGGCATCACTGTAATTGAAAGCTCCGGCGGTGGTGAAAATGTTGAGGGTGAGTAGAAGAAGAAGAAGATTATGCCATTGTGTCTTCTTCTTCTTCTCCTCCATTGTTCAGTCTTTCTTCCCTCCTACGGAAGTTTTTTTTTCTCTTTCTCCAAGAAGCGAAGGGAAGAATGGGAAAAGTAAGCCAGCTCGCTTTCTCAGTTTGAAAACATAGTTTGTCAGTACTCTCTCTCTAGTACTAAATTGGTGTTTAGGCTTTGATAGGTCATAGGTGTCTTTGTGCATGTGATTTTCACATGAGAGTGATTTTTGCAAAGGCTTTACTCTCTTTTTTGTCTCGGACCCGGTTTCTCTGCTATCTGAGTTCTCGTACACTTCTATCCTCTTCTATTTTATACTGTTACGGTTAAGTTATATCAATATTTTATATTAATTTTTTTATAGAGATAATAAGATAAAAAACAATAGTGATATAAAATATTGATGTGACTTAACCGTGATTGCACAAATAGGAGAAGATGAGAATGTATGAGAACTGAGAAAGCAGGAACCCAGATCGTTTTGTCCCATATGGAGAAATTTTTCGATACGTCTTTATTAGGACGGTTTTCATGCTAGGTGTAATCACTATAAGTTTAAAATTCAAATGAGACTAAAATATAGGAAATCCTAAGCTATTGTGAGAGGCATCATATATGGATGACATGTTCAAACATCTTACTTAAGATTTCTTATAGAGAAACAACAATATTTTTCCAACCCTAGCTAGCAACATAAGATAAAATGTAATATTCTTACGACACTTGTATGCAACACAAAGTTCTCTGAAGATCCTACATGAAAGATACTCATATTTTTAGACTGTGAATCTACGCTACATAATAGGGTAGTTAATTTTTGTATGGCAACGAGAAAAAGAACGATCATATAGTCATAGATTATGGGTAGGGTTTGCGTGGTTTTGGAAGATGGGTAATACACCAATAATTTGGACCTCTTTGTCTCTTGGAGATAGAAGTGCCAAGTTGTCACCATGTCTTGTAAATTACTATTTCAGCATCGTTCTATCTAAATTCGAAACAACAAAGGTCATGGAAAGAGAGAGATAAAAACAAATGACCGAACAATGTCATCCTAACAAGAAAGTTTCTCTCAATTACAAGAGGTAGTTATAGTCAATCGAACAATGACTTGTATACTTAACAATTTAGATTAACAGTCTAATAACACATTAAAAACAAATTGAATTAATTAAGGGACACGAACTATAGAGAAACTACATTCAAACAATAAGAAAACAAAGGCCACAAACCATTGATTTTGTTCTTGATTACAACAATCAATCAAGAATGATGGTGGTGGTGGCCTTGCACAGAAATCCCACATCATATCATAATCATGGCGTTAGTAAAAAGCTTAACAAATGATAACAAAATTAAGAAAGTGATTACACGAAAATCTCATCAAAATGACAAATAAGTGGTCATCTATTATATATAAAGAGAATAGAAAAAGTGAATAGTGATTTAGTGTCACCACCATGCTTCAACAAAAAAATTTTAACAAAAATGCCCCCAAACAAAAAACTTCAAAAGCATTCCAAAATAATACATCAAATAAGGTAGGGGTATTTTCATCATTTTAACGGTATTTCTTTAATAATTTATTTTTTGGTGTTTTTTTTTTAAATTAGTACCTCACAATAAGCTAACAATAATGTGATTCAATTTCTTTATTTTTAAACACGTTCCAAACATCTCAAGAGGCATGTAATACCGGTTATAAAAAAAAAATTTTGCACACGGATAACAATGTGATTAAATAAGTTATCAAATGATTGTTTTTTTTTAACAAACGATATTATCTACACTAAGGAAGAGAGAGTGGGCTTAGCCTAAGAATGAGCTAGTAATAATGTGATTCAATCAGTTATTTATTAAATATCATTTTCTCTATTTTTAAACACGTTTAAAATATCATAACAGACGTGTAATGCCGGTTATAAAAAAGGTATTTCGCACACGGATAATAATGTGATTAAATTAATTATCAAATGATTTTTTTTAAATAAAGAATATTATCTATACTAAGGGAGAGGGGGTGGGCTTAGCCTCACAATAGGCTAGTAATAATATGATTTAATCAATTATTTATTAAATATTATTTTCTCTATTTTTAATGTAAATTCTATATAAACCGATTTTATTATGTAAATTCAGCTGCTTTAATTGGTTTATGAGGGATTTCTTTTAACATGATCTAAAATTATTTATTTACTTCAAATATTTGACTTTTTTTGTTTGTCAATTTATGCATATAAATACATTTAAAATATATAAGTTGCAAGTATCATGTCGTGATTTAAAATATATCTTTTACACGCGCGTTAGCCCGGGCATGAAGGCTAGTGTTCCTAAAAAGAAGAGGAATTCGGGAAATCTGGTACTGCTGCAGCTAATGCCTAATTTGCCTACAGTGACGATACCCCGTTTTGACTGCTTAAATCTGTTGTCGGTGCCACCAACATCCACTTGAGTTGACCATACAAGCCCGCCGAGGTTAGGCTCCTCTGCTTGCGGTGTGACCGGCGAAAAAGCAAAACCGGCGGAGCCGGTCAAATGGAAGCACCGACTGGCTGTGGACCTGGGCATGTTCCCTCGCTGTCGGCGAGGGGAATTTACGTAAACAGTGATCAAAATTTGATTTCGACGTCGGCACATGAAAAACGAAGCTTCCCACCAAAAGCATTGAAACGGAAAGTCAAGAATTTTTTCACTCGTTTTTGTTTTTCATGGGTAAAAATACATTTTCTCGTTTCCCACATGATCCTGACTGAGTGAAATAATTTCATAAGTAATTTTTAACTTAATAGAGTTGTCATTCATTTATCCGTCAAAATGCTTTTAATATAGTAAATAGTCTTATCTAAACTAATTCTCTCTATCAAACGAGACCTTAATGTCATTACAATATCAAGTATAGTAAAGCCTTGAGCATCAATATGCTGACTACCAGTGCTTAATTAATCTTGACATGAGGTGGTATTGAATTTCTTACACTCTTGGTCTTGGGTTATGCTCCGTACAACCAAACACTTTAAATGCCCTATTCAGTTATAATGCCACGTTACCAGACTCAGTTATGGTGCATTTTTGTTTATCATCCTCAAATTGTGGTATTGTTCACCACCCTACTTATTACCATTAGATGAATTTAAATTTTGAGATTTGTGTATATCTGCTACACAGATCTTAAAATTTAAATTCATCAAACGGTTGCAGATAGAGTGGTGAATATCACATCATTTGAGAATCACGAGGAAACATATTCGCTCCTTGGTTTAACCCTAACACGTAACGTAATTCAATCAATTGATATGATATCTAGCTGCTGTTGGGTTAGTGCAATTTTGGTCCATATGATCACATCGGTCCAAGTAAGGACTCCGGCCCAACTAGGGCTTGGGACCCAATTAAAAGGCTACACAAAAGTGACAAACACTTGAATTGCGACGGCGGGTCCCCAGTTATCCTATTCCCTTGTGGGTCCCGCCCCCGACTTTGTCCGACCGAAAATCACGTGCAGAACACGTGTCACTAAGAATCTCCTTTCTTCTCAAATCATGTTGATGATCGCGCTCCTCCAGAAACGAACTCCCTCTAAGTCTACTGTGATCCGATGTGGGTGGCTACCACCGTACACGCCCTTCCTTCCAGTTCATCTTCACCACCGGTCCGAACCCGAAACTCGTGTATCATAATTTTCCGAAACCGAAATCGTTCCGTTTCGGACGCTTCGGTGTCCGGCTCCGCCTTAACAAGTATAAAGTTTCGGCGGCGAAGAAGCAGCTCACCGAGTTGGTGAATCAGAAACCAGGTCAAAGTATCTCACCTTATACTATTTATTTTACGATAATCAGAACGTTGTGATCATTTTACTGGCACTTTGTGCTTTGTACTTGATTTAATGCTTGTAGAGACAATTAGAATATTACCATGCATAAAGTGCTTGAGAAATTGAGAGCGGGATGTCTCCTATCCATCTCAGGTGAATACTCGTTACGCTTCTAATTATTCAGTCGGAAATTTTGGTTTGGTGTTGATTGGAGGTCAAGTTTTCATGGTTTCCACATTGACGTTTTGAAATGAATGTGGGTATACCGCTTGCACAGACAACCAGCAACCCTAAGAAAGTGAAGGGCATAATTAGCAGAAAGTTGGACATGAATTGGGGTAAAAGTCATTGTCTTGATTCTTAAACATGGTCTTCAAACTAAGAAGGCATCACATCTCGTGAGTTATAATGTTGACTTGATGTAGGAAAATATCCTAAGTTCGAATTTTTATTCATTTGTTGATTGAAGAACGAAGGTACCGAAATGAGTTTGATTTGATAAACCCCCTCTTTAAATTTGTTCACGATCGAGTTAATATGCATATATGAGTTAGGTTTGTTATTAGGTCAGTATATTTATCTCTTTAAACTCAAGTTCGAGTTTCTAATTTGAAGTAATTGTTGTAGAATATAGTCCTTATAAAAGAAGAGGCGGATCCGCAACACCACTTTTTCTACACAAGTTTTTACTTGGACCCACTTTGTAATGTATTTCAAAAATCCGACCCATCTATCTTTTAGGTATTTTCTCAAAGATCACATCTACAAAAAATCACTCAAATTTGAAGCCGTATTGGATTAAAGGTTTAGAGTTTCTTTGTTGAACTGTATTTATTCATTTTTTTTCATTACAAATAATTGTTTTAGTGGTGTTGGATTTGTCTTTTTTTTTTTTTTTAATTTTTTTTTTACGAGGACGATGTTTTAAAAAACAGACTATTTAGATCGTTGAAATACTTTACGTGTAGGGTTCCACAAAAATTTGTGTTAAAAAAGTGGTACCACGAATTCGTCGCATAAAACAATATTAAATTTGAGATTAGCGTTTCTAAAGTCTAAACACGATATTAACTTAAAAAATAACCTTTCTAAAATGAATGCTCTCATATTAATTAAAGGAAAAAGAAGCTGATGGCGGGCGAGAACTTCAAATTGCCCGGGAAAATTCCAGCTGTCGATCACATCCAAGTCAGCGTGAGAGTTCAGCTCCCCCACTGGGCCCCACCCCGGTCGTGCCACGTGTACGTTGCCACCAACTGGACCGTTTACGCGTCGCTTTCCAACGAACGAACGCACACTGCATGAGACTTTAGCATTCGGCAGTTCTTCTTCTCCGTCCAGGAGAGAGTGAATTTTCGTCGGCATTGAAGGCGCCAAATTTTTCTAGGGTTTTTGGAGATTTCGGATGCGCGCGAATGTCGTCGTCGGCGGAGACCAGCGACGGAGAGCACGAGGTGGAGCTGATCGTGCACGACCCATCTGCATCGGGGGATGACGGTGGCGAGGCCGTCGCAGACGAGATAGCCCCGCTCTTGACGCAGCCGGAGAAGCCCAAAATCAACATTTTCACCCTCTCTTATCCTCGAGGAACATCTAAGGTACTAAAACTATTCCCTCACTTCAATTTGATCCAAAATGTCAATTTTTTTCCTCGAATATTTTTGGTTAGAGGAATTTTAAATGTATGAAGATGATAACATTTCTAGGGTTTTAATATGTTGCCCGGTTTGTTGGTTGTGAAAATTGGGGGAAGTGAAACTATGATCGACTTGTTTTTTATTTTTATTTTTTGAAATTTTGTTCAGTTTTCTAGTACTCCAAATCCAAAAGTAGTTAAACTTTAGTTCAGGAACCAAAGCAGTGAAATTATGAAAATGCTGTTGATGGTGGTTATGTAGTTTAATGCCTCAGTGGATGGGAGCGATTCATCGGTTTTGGTTCCGTCTTAATAGCCTAGTGATTGTGTTGTCATTTTGGAGGGAAATGTAGAAGGGAAAGTAAAGTATATGAATTCTGCAATGGTGGTTTTTGGTTGATTTGATTGATTGTTAATATTGTGTATCCGTGTATAGGATCGGGTACGGAAACCACTTGAAACGGAGACATCCTCAGTAGCTCAATTTATTTCGTGGGTATGGAGTGGATCGAGATGCTCCGGTGTATTGTGTATGGCCATCTCATGTACCATCTACTTTGTCATGGAATTTTTTGCTGATGTTTTTTCTGGTTAGTAAGTTCTGCATTCTATTCATCACTGAATTGCAAGTTACATGGCATATTATGCACAGAACCTTTTTCCGCTCTATGTTTTCTCTCTCTTTCGCCCTTTTTCATTATATGTTATGTTTTTGTTTTATTATGGCAGTTCAGTCCATTCCTTTGCTTGAGGCAGCATTTACAAGGTGTACGATTATCTTGGTATTGTCATTTGTGTGGTTGAGAAAGTGTGGACAGCCAGTATATCTGGATTGGCAACTGTAAAAAATCTTTTGATTTCCAGAGCCCTTACGGGGTATATCTCATTGATGTGTTTCATTTATTGGTAAGTAGCCTTGTATGATTTTTCTTGTTTCTTTGCAAGGAGTATTCACTCATTCTCTGGTGTCAATGTGTTCATGGCATGATACCTGCCTCGTGGACAAACAATTTCCATACTGTATTCTGCCTGTATGCAAATGATATGTTCTTTTTACCCATATGACGCTATATTTAGAAATAAATATATGATTAATATTTATCATATAAGAGCATAGAGTTAGAAATAAATATACGATCTCTTATAAGAGCATAGAGTTAGGATAGTGTAGGAGTCTAGTACCCAACCAGATCAAATAGTAATTCAGCTGTTGGCTCCAATGGAAAAGCTGTTGTTTTAGAGCATCCAAGTATTTGGCTAACTTATGTCTTTAAGTTTGTTCATGTGTCGAGTGTTCTTCATGTGCTCTACAGTATGTTTGAAATGCTTTTCAGGCAGCTTGTGGGCTCTGCCCTTATAAACTTGATTCTGTAATGGGTAAGCACCACATAAATAACCAGAAGTTGGCTCATTTTTTTATTTCAGCATTCAAAGGTTACCTTTGTCTCAGGCTATTGTATTGAGCTTCACAACTCCAATTATGGCTTCAGTTGTGGCCAGAATCATTCTACATGAGAAGTATAAGATTGCAGATGTTGGAGGTATGTAGTATATAATGATTATAATCATTGCTTCTCACTCTAGTTTGAACATAATGTTGCATATCTGTCTTTTTTTGAAGGTTTTAGCTTCTGGAAAAGTTTCTTAGGCTACCTTTTGATAGTCAGGGAGTGATGTCTTTGTCGATTGTCATTCATTTTCCAGGTCTTGCGTGCAGTTTCTTTGGTGTGCTCTTCATTTTCAGACAAATGCTTACCACACAAGGTACAGAAGTGAGTTAACATAATGTTATATTACATACTGGATATGGATGATTTTGATGTGTAGTAAGAGTTTAAACAAACTCTTCTGGTCTCTGTCTAAAAGTGAACAAAAATTTGAGCGTCACTTGGATGTATTGTGTATGTATATGGTGTTGCATGGCTTATCATGTCTTTTCACTTTAGTGAAAGAAAACTACTCTGAGATAGCAGTCCGCCAAGGGCACGTATACTGTCTTACAAATGAGGAAGAAAGTGTATGTGAGTTTTGTTGTGATTGGCTCATAGTTTGAGTTGGCAACAATTTTGATAGTTTAGCTTTATGTGCTACAGGGAAATGGCTGTAGCAAAGTGTTGTCTTTGTGTTTGTTTGCACGTAAATATGTATGCTTTCTATGCATGAAAAAAGTCTACTTTATAGGCTAGGTTTTCTTTTCATGTTTTCCCATTTGCATTTTTCCCTTGAAGGTGGCATTGTGATTTGATTAAAGGCAAAGGGAGGGGATGCATAGTTTCATGCAAAGCATGTGGAATGATAAAGGAAAAGCAAGGTTTGCTGTTTACTTTGGAGACATAATCATCATGGAAGCCTTCCGTAAAAACTGGGGGATGAAAATGATGGCCTTTATTTAAATGCAAGGAATTGCTTGCACTGTATATAAATGCTTGCCGAGTGTGAAGAAAAAAATGGGTGCATCCGGAAAACACAGAGGGAAAAGAAAATAGAGTGAGAGTGAGAAACTCTAGGGGAGAGTGAGGCTCTTGGAAAAATTTTGTGAGTGTACAAGAGATTGGGGTTTGGGTTATGTCAATTTAACTCATGTATATTTTGTACTAGTTATTCTCATAGTGAAGAGCAATATCTCTCCGAGGACGTAGGCAGGTTTTTGCCGAACCTCGTAATTCTCTTGGTGTCTTTATTTCTTGTATTTTAAATTGTTCAACTGTGGGTTTATAAGTTGGTGAGATAACAGGCCAAGCACAACAATTGGTATCAGAGCTTTGTTGGAAGCTTTGGTTCATTGAAGGTTCAGATTTGTTATTCACCATGATGACTACAAACATGTCATTTTCAGTTAAGAAGTTTAATGGGAAAGGCAGTTTTACTCTTTGGCAGATGAGAGTAAAGGATGTCTTGACTCAACAAGGCTTGGCTAGAGCTTTGAAGGTAAAAGATGGGAAGCCTCAAGAAATGACAGATGACCAGTGGGAGGAGCTGGAGGCGCGTTGTGTTAGCACGATTTGACACTGTATAGCTGATAACATTATCAATAATGTTATGGATGAAGATTCTGCGCCTGCACTTTGGGAGAAGTTGGAAAAACTCTATATTGCTAAGAGTTTGACCAACAAGTTGCATTTGAAGCGGAAACTGTACAAGCTGAAAATGGATGAAGGTGGGAATCTCATGGACCACATGAATGTGTTCAACGGATACTTGGATCAATTGAGGAAAGTTGATGTTAAGGTTGAGGAAGAAGATAAAGCCCTCTTACTTCTTACCTCACTCCCAGATTCGTATGAGAATCTTGTGACAACCTTACTGCATGGAAAAGATACAGTAAGTTTGGAGCAGGTGCAGGCTTCTTTGGTGTCTTATGATACTCAAAAGAAGAAGACCATTGTTGATGATGGGTACGAGACTGCATTAGCTGTTCAAGGTGGGAATGGTGGAAGAAAAATGAAATGAGGTTTTGAGAGAGACAGTAGGTGCCAATGCATGTGCAGCTGCTGCAAGCTAAAAACACCATTTAGCTTCAGACAGGATCTCGACACATCCTCGTCTCATCCTGTAGGATTTCCCCCTCTTTATTGTCTGCAACTTGGAAACTCGTCAATGCACCCGTTTCCAGCAACAACCCATCGAGCCAGACAAAATTCCCCACACTTCTCTTCCTTCAGGACCATCTCATCACCTGTGAATCCCATAGCTCCACCTGCTGCAAATCCCTTGCAACACTCGAGACTAAACATCACCAAGAGAAGTGTTGCTTCGAGTACCTAGAGGGCATACTCGAAGTCTTCTGCCACAAAATTGCTATTACTCGGACCAAGATCATCCTTTCTTTTTCTCAAAGGACAATTTATCCTTTTATGCCCGAATTCTTTACAGGCGTGGCATTGTAGACCCTTACCTCCGGACTTGATTTGGACCTACTGTCTCTCTCAAAACCTCCTTTCATTTTTCTTCCACCATTCCCACCTTGAACAGCTAATGCAGTCTCGTACCCATCATCAACAATGGTCTTCTTCTTTTGAGTATCATAAGACACCAAAGAAGCATGCACCTGCTCCAAACTTACTGTATCTTTTCCATGCAGTAAGGTTGTCACAAGATTCTCATACGAATCTGGGAGTGAGGTAAGAAGTAAGAGGGCTTTATCTTCTTCCTCAACCTTGACATCAACTTTCCTCAATTGATCCAAGTATCCGTTGAACACATTCATGTGGTCCATGAGATTCCCACTTTCATCCATCTTCAGCTTGTACAGTTTCCGCTTCAAATGCAACTTGTTGGTCAAACTCTTAGCAATATAGAGTTTTTCCAACTTCTCCCAAAGTGCAGGCGCAGAATCTTCATCCATAACATTATTGATAATGTTATCAGCTATACAGTGTCGAATCGTGCTAACACAACGCGCCTCCAGCTCCTCCCACTGGTCATCTGTCATTTCTTGAGGCTTCCCATCTTTCCCTTCAAAGCTCTAGCCAAGCCTTGTTGAGTCAAGACATCCTTTACTCTCATCTGCCAAAGAGTAAAACTGCCTTTCCCATTAAGAATTTTTCCAAGAGCCTCACTCTCCCCTAGAGTTTCTCACTCTCACTCTATTTTCTTTTCCCTCTGTGTTTTCCGGATGCACCCATTATGATTATGTCTCCAAAGTAAACAGCAAACCTTGCTTTTCCTTTATCATTCCACATGCTTTGCATGAAACTATGCATCCCTTCCCTTTGCCTTTAATCAAATCACAATGCCACCTTCACGTGAAAAATGCAAATGGGAAAACATGAAAAGAAAACCTAGCCTATAAAGTAGACTTTTTTTCATGCATAGAAAGCATACATATTTACGTGCAAAGACAACACTTTGCTACAGCCATTTCCCTGTAGCACATAAAGCTAAACTATCAAAATTGTTGCCAACTCAAACTATGAGCCAATCACAACAATCTCCACCTTGGCGAATACACCATGCAAAAATCCTTGCACCCATCACCAAAGCTCATTGGCCTTACGTACCAGCATACACACCCTGAATCAACCTCGTTGGTCCTGTTCCGATTCAGTCACTGCCAATGCATGTGCAGCTGCTGCAAGCTAAAAACACCATTTAGCTTCAGACAGGATCTCGACACATCCTCGTCTCATCCTGTAGGATTTCCCCCTATTTATTGTCTGCAACTTGGAAACTCGTCAATGCACCCGTTTCCAGCAACAACCCATCAAGCCAGACAAAATTCCCCACACTTCTCTTCCTTCAGGACCATCTCATCACCTGTGAATCCCATAGCTCCACCTGCTGCAAATCCCTTGCAACACTCGAGACTAAACATCACCAAGAGAAGTGTTGCTTCGAGTACCTAGAGGGCATACTCGAAGTCTTCTGCCATAAAATTGCTACTACTCGGACCAAGATCATCCTTTCTTTTTCTCAAAGGACAATTTATCCTTTTATGCCCGAATTCTTTACAGGCGTAGCATTGTAGACCCTTACCTCCGGAACTTGATTTGGACCTGCTGTCTCTCTCAAAACCTCCTTTCATTTTTCTTCCACCATTCCCACCTTGAACAGCTAATGCAGTCTCGTACCCATCATCAACAATGGTCTTCTTCTTTTGAGTATCATAAGACACCAAAGAAGCCTGCACCTGCTCCAAACTTATTGTATCTTTTGTACTAGTTATTCTCACAGTAAAGAGCAATATCTCTCCGAGGACGTAGGCAGGTTTTTGCCGAACCTCGTAATTCTCTTGGTGTCTTTATTTCTTGTATTTTAAATTGTTCAACTGTGGGTTTATAAGTTGGTGAGATAACAGGCCAACACTACTACAAAAGTACCCATTAGTGTCGATTTAAAAACCGACAAGAAACGTATAATATTGTCGGAAATTAAGCAAAATCCGACAGAAAATGAGTGCAGTGACGGATATAATAAGCGACAGAATTGCCTGCGTCAGAAAATGAATTTTCCGACAGAAAAACTACTAAAACCAACAGAAATTGTGTCGGATATAACCGACAGGATATACATTATATAATAAAAAATAAGAGAATTTATGTCGGTTAAAACCGACAGAAAGTATTAAAACCGCCAGAATTTCTGTCGGTTTTATCCGACAATAATTCTTATTAATAAGAATAAATAAAAGAATTATTGTCGGCTAAAACCGACAGAAAGTATATTAATAATAAAAAAAAATATAAATCATTTTCTGCATTTTCCATATCCCCTGGCATTCACCAACCGAAACCTCGCCGGAGCTCGATCTCGAAAACCTCAGGGCCCTTAAAGTCTTAGGCGCAAGGGACACCGTTGCATGCCATCTGATTGTGTTGTCATTTTGGAGGGAAATGTAGAAGGGAAAGTAAAGTATATGAATTCTGCAATGGTGGTTTTTGGTTGATTTGATTGATTGTTAATATTGTGTATCCGTGTATAGGATCGGGTACGGAAACCACTTGAAACGGAGACATCCTCAGTAGCTCAATTTATTTCGTGGGTATGGAGTGGATCGAGATGCTCCGGTGTATTGTGTATGGCCATCTCATGTACCATCTACTTTGTCATGGAAATTTTTGCTGATGTTTTTTCTGGTTAGTAAGTTCTGCATTCTATTCATCAGTGAATTGCAAGTTACATGGCATATTATGCACAGAACCTTTTTCCGCTCTATGTTTTCTCTCTCTTTCGCCCTTTTCCATTATATATTATGTTTTTGTTTTATTATGGCAGTTCAGTCCATTCCTTTGCTTGAGGCAGCATTTACAAGGCGTACGCTTATCTTGGTATTGTCATTTGTGTGGTTGAGAAAGTGTGAACAGCCAGTATCTGGATTGGCAACTGTAAAAAATCTTTTGATTTCCAGAGCCCTTACGGGGTATATCTCATTGATGTGTTTCATTTATTGGTAAGTAACCGTGTATGATTTTTCTTGTTTCTTTGTTAGGAGTATTTACTCATTCTCTGGTGTCAATGTGTTCATGGCATGATAACTGCCTCGTGGACATAAACAATTTCCATACTGTATTCTGCCTGTATGCAAATGATATGTTCCTTTTACCCAAATGAGGCTATAATTAGAAATAAATACATGATTAATATTTATCATATAAGAGCATAGAGTTAGAAATAAATATACGATCTCTTATAAGAGCATAGAGTTAGGATAGTGTAGGAGTCTAGGACCCAACCAGATCAAATAGTAATTCAGCTGTTGGCTCCGATGGAAAAGCTGTTGTTTTAGAGCATCCAAGTATTTGGCTAACGTATGTCTTTAAGTTTGTTTATCTGTCGAGTGTTCTTCATGTGCTCTGCAGTATGTTTGAAATGCTTTTCAGGCAGCTTGTGGGCTCTGCCCTTATAAACTTGATTCTGTAATGGGTAAGCACCACAGAAATAACCAGAAGTTGGCTCATTTTTTTATTTCAGCATTCAAAGGTTACCTTTGTCTCAGGCTATTGTATTGAGCTTCACAACTCCAATTATGGCTTCAGTTGTGGCAAGAATCATTCTACATGAGAAGTATAAGATTGCAGATGTTGGAGGTATGTAGTATTAGTATATAATGATTATAATCATTGCTTCTCACTCTAGTTTGAACATAATGTTGTATATCTGTCTCTTTTTGAAGGTTTTAGCTTCTGGAAAAATTTCTTAGGCGACCTTTTGATAGTCAGGGAGTGAAGTCTTTGTTGATTGTCATTCATTTTCCAGGTCTTGTGTGCAGTTTCTTTGGTGTGCTCTTCATTTACCGACAAATGCTTACCACACAGGGTACAGAAGTTAGTTAACATAATCTTTATTACGTACTGGATGTGGATGATTTTGATGTGTAGTAAGAGTTTAAACAAACTCTTCTGGTCTCTGTCTAAAAGTGAACAAAAATTTGAGCGTCACATGGATGTGTTGTGTATATGGTGTTGCACGGCTTATCATTTCTTTTCACTTTAGTGAAAGAAAACTACTCGGAGATAGCAGTGCCCCAAGGGCACGTATACTGTCTTACAAAGGAGGAAGAAAGAGTATATGAGTTTTGTGTCTCACTCCTCTATTGTTGACAAAAGAAGTTTAAGCTTATATGTGTGATCGAGAGATTTTAATGCATGTCTTTAGATCATATGTCGGTAAATTGTGTAGTAACCATGAGAAAATTAATGTCTGTAAAAGAAATGATCATTTAAAAGGCCTAGTATAACAACTATGTTGTCTACTTACATTTCTTCTGTTATGGCCCCTGCTTACAGCATAAAGGTCGTACCCAGTGCACAAGGCTCCCGCTTTACGCAGGGTCTGGGAGAGGTAAATGTCGGCTAGCCTTACCCCCATTTTATGGAGAGGCTGCTCCCAAGTCTCGAACCCGAGACCTACCGCTCATGGGCGAAGGCACTTGCCATAATGTTACAAAATCTAATCCTCAAATGGGGCCTTCTGCATGCAATAATGTACATTTTGCGTGTTTCCTATTGCTCTTCCAAGAATTGTGGAATACTAACTTTTGAATTATGCATGAGGATTAGATAAAAATGGAGGAAAGAATACAAGTGTCAGGGGAAGCAGCTATATCTTTGCAGTCTTGGCCGGTTTACTCTCATCCATAACTGGTGGAATCAGCTACTGCCTTACAAAGGCTGGATCAAAGGCATCTGATCAGCCACTGTAAGATTACTGATTGCTTATTTGTAACTTTAACCTGCATAAAAATGGATATAAATTATTCTCTCCGCTTTCAATTATCCTTGACTCGATTAATTCTATAAACTTCAAGAAATTATGAAATGGATGATAATGTGCTCTTTCTCTTTTGTCTGCCAAACTTTTGACACTGGAAAATTGCCGTACTGTTAATTCATTTTCCAGTATCAGGTGCATTTTATACAAAGATGATAACCTTTATTTACGAAGTCTATAACTGTTTAGGTTCCATGATTATCCATGCTAGAAAAAAAATTAAAAAACATCTAAAAGTTATATGTTATTGTGTTGCTTCTCTTAAATGTACATAATACGTTTACCAAAAAAATATGTGCATAATACAGGGGTAAGCAAAACATATTTATTGCATCCAAGTGTTATCTTTGAAATTTTGGAAATAAGTTTTATGTGGTAAAGTTACCTAAGTAAATTCTCTGTCCAATTTTCAGGTTGACCGTATTTTCATTTGGTTTACTGGCTAGTCCAGCTTCAGGAGTTTGTTTGTTTGCCGTTGAGGTAAGTTGACTTCATGGTTTCAATGCTGTGCGTTGTTCTATTATCATTTCAAGTTTACCATATTCCATGTTTAAAGTATCGCTGATTGCCTAGCAACTTAAAATCATCTACCTAATGCTTGGATTTCGTCGTCGCTGAGAGTCACATTTAGCTTCAGTGCTTTCAGGTTATTATTTTTACATGTCATACACTTTTTAGGTTGTGCTAAATATTTACCCATCCTTTTTTCAGGAGTTTGTTTTCCCAAATTTATATTCATTTTCAGTTATGCTTGTACTCGGTGTTCTGGCCTTTTTCGCAGAGGTGTGGTTCGGAACTATTTATAGACTTCTATTTCTCCCAATATGCTCCAGTAGTTACGGGCTTCTCAACCTATGTGCTCGATGTCAGGTGTTCTTAGCACGTGGACTGCAGCTTGAGAAAACTGGCAAAGTTGCAAATGTTATATACATGGAGGTACGTTTCCTGTTCAGATGCCATTACCGCTCCGCTTGATTTGATTGTTAATCAGTATGAATAGTAATGAGATGCAGTAAACAATTAGGAAATCTGCAAAGTGACATTGATGACTGTATTTAATCGGATAAACAAACAAGATCAACTGCTACGATTCATCCAAACATACAATTTTTTTAACCATAGAAAATGCGTTCATGTTTTTCTATGTTTCAGGCTGCACTGTCACAATTATGGGGCATTGGATCGTCGAGGATAGCTCTATCTTTGGGTCGAATTATCGGTTGTGTGCTTATTTTGATTTCTGTTAGTTGCACCATGTATATTGGACCCGATAAAGATACGGCATGAAAGGTACAAATTCTTCTGATGTACCTCCTCTTGTATGCACTGACACCTGATTATTTCTCCGCTTCAATAGTTCAATGCGTGATAGCAAAAGAAAAAGTTTTTTTTTTTTTAATTTTTTATTTTCGAATAAACGATATTATTTATACTAAGAAGGAGGGGTGGATTTAGCCTCACAATGGGCTAAGCAATAATGTGGTTCAAATTCATCTTTGCGAGAATCGAACTTAAAACCTCTCACTTACACTTACAAGTAAAGAAGAATATCACTAAACCATAGTGCTATGTGTCAACAAAAGCAAAAGTTAAAGCCTTCATTTGCAACTGATTGACATGACTCGCTTTTCCATGGACCATTTGTGGTGATGGTTGGGATGAAGCTTAAAGTTAAAAGCTTTAAACCCCTACCAAACCATTTTCGGTCATTGGGCTAAAATAAGTCTAGAGAAAAATAATTTTTGAGCCAGATTCCTCCAAAGAATTAAGCATATAGACCCACCAGTACCCATGGGTTGAAGCCCCGCCAAACTAAGCATGACGGAGCCCATGCAGATGGCCATTTGGCCGCTACATGGCTCTTGGTTGATCAACAATCCAAATAATATGACCGTTGGATCCGTTAGCCAACGGTCATATTTCAAATTATTTTTGTTTTTATTTATTTTACTTATAATTCAATGGTTGTGATTACATGATATTAATTATGACGGTAAAAAAATCATTCAACAGCCCAAAATTTAACATCTCAAACAATTATTATTTTTTTATTTAATTCAAATTTCACCTAAAAAAACTCTATAAAACTTACATTGTGCTATTTTTCATTATTTATCGAAATTTGAATATTTTTATGTTAAATTTAGTCATAAAAATCAATGAGAATAGTTTACATAAAGTTTATTTTTGAAAAGGTCACAAAAAAAAGGCTAAAATTATTTTTTTAATAATCTTTGGCAAACTTTTTAAGTGGTAACGAACTATTAAAAGAGAAAAACTGTTTCTAAATAAGATTTAAAGTTTTTTTACTTAAATTTTTAAGCTTTATCCAACGTGGTGATAAAGCTGCAAACAAATAGAATCGGCTTTTAATCCGATAACATCACCTACATCCTATCCTACAACTGCCAGAAATTCTAAAAGGAGCTTTTTTCTGGCAGAATCTGAAGTGATGGTTGCCTACCCTTCTGTAGAAATTTGGGCTTTTCTCTGAGTTTGGCTATGGACGTCATGCTAAACTGGCCCATGCCTACTTAGCCTAGTACGAAATATGCTTGTAGGTATAGTACATACTCCATAGTCCTACGTCATTTTGATTGCTTGCGGCGACATATGAGAGTGGACAACGTCTGTGGAGTGTGGTGTTGTGGATGAGTCAGAAATTCATCTCTTCTTCCGTTGTAACCTCAACCACCTATTCTGGTTCTCCTCTCCGCTTCAGTTGAACTCCTTTGAACTGGTAGGTGTTGACTTCCTATCTAGCTGGGAGTTGTTCTGGTCTCGGGTCAAGGGGAGGGACACCGTGGAGGAGATCATGCAGGAGTTTGCCTTTGGGTTACGGAGACTGTGGAAAAACAGAAACGAGGTGGTTTTTAATGGTGTGCATAGGCAGCTCTTGGAACTTTTGGAGTCCTGGAGCAGGAACATCTCTGAATTCAGAGACGCTACGCTCAGTGCGACTGAGGGAAAACAGCCTAGGTGTCGACCGATGATCTCGTCCTTGGACCGTGGGGGTTGCAGATGGGAGAAGCTGGCGTTCGGGGTCCTAAAGGTCAACACCGACGCCTCGTGGTGCAAGACCACTCTCCGCACGGGGGTGGGATGGGTTTGCCGTGACTTTGCGGGACTTTTTCATGGTGCGGGGGGATTGGGTGTTGAGTTGTGTCACTCTGCGACTGCTGGGGAAGCCTCTGCAATTAGGACTGCTCTCATGGCTTGCATTGACTACGGGTATGACAATGTTGTTATTGAATCTGATGCCAAGGTGATTATTCAAATGCTTAGGCATGAGCTGCCTCATGATTTCAATCTCGAATGTATTCTTGGTGATATTGAGGTTCTAGTGCGTAGGTTGAGGTCTGTTTCGTTCTCTTCCGTGCCTAGGGAGAGCAATGTTGCTGCTCACTCGGTTGCTAAGTTTGTTTTCAAGGAGGGTCGTGAATTTGGGTGGGACTGTATTAGGCCTGAATTCTTGTTTAACATCCTAGCCCAGGATGTAAATCTCTCTATTCGTATCTAATATATTTCTATCTTCGGGGAAAAAAAAACGATATAGAAATTTAAAATACAAGTCAAAGTCGAGATTTTTCACTATCAAATGAAGAAGAATATTACTAGACTGTAACATTAGTGGCATAGTCCTCTAACATTTAACAAACGGTTCTTATGTCAAGGTTTAATTTTCAATCAAAATTTTATGGATAATGAAGTACATGCAGCTTATACATACTTCTCTAACCTGTCGCCTCCTACTTCATCCAAACTTGAAGTTGCATAACTTCAAAAAAAAATTTTTAGCAGACGATATTATTTACACTAAGAGAGAGTATGAAAACAAAAATGAACGGTGAGAGGGAGAGTGAAAGAGTTATTGTTGCTGAATGGTGGTGTCCTTGTTGATTAACTATAGGGAGACCAAGAGAGTGACAAGTCAGTCGCAGAAAGGGAAAGAAATATGTGCAGCCAGAGTCATCTGCAAAACCCTCAGCAACTCATGAGCTCACCTCACTTTATTCCCTTAAATATTTGGTGATATTTTCTTTCTTGGGTAAATCACTCATGATAGCTGTTGTCATAGATGAGTACGCAAGGAACAGCAAGCCCTTACTCTATGTACGAGCACAAGTCGGTATATAAAATGTTATTATATAAGTGAAGAGATTGATATATTTTTTAATGTCTTTTTATTTGTATTATAACACGTAATATACTGGCTTATGTGCCGAGCAAAAGCAAGTACACACTGAGACCTAGGTGGTCTCAAGATCACCGAAGTTCATAAAACATACATGTGAACCCTCCGAATGTTTTCTACGGGTACCTTTGTAACTACTAAATGTTTGATATAACACAAGTTAGGCATATCTTGACAGGTTACATAGACACACACTCGACAAATTCTCTCGATATCACTCATCAAATGTTCGATGAAATGCCATAGTGAAAAACTAAAGAATATGCGCTTCGCACTCTGTTTTTATCTAAAAAACTTGAATCTTTAACACTGGGACCACTCAAGATTTGAATCCTTGATCGCCATTTGTACCAAATATACTAAAAAGTCTCTCTGATATGGCACGTGTACATTGCTACTATATATAACGTTTTGTGTTAGTAATATATTGTCATCGTGTGTTAATTTTTATTATATAATAATATTGTACGAGCGGCACAAAATATCACAATAATAGTGCACCATTATCGTTTAAGTTGCTCTTTTCTTAATCATTTGAGGAAAAAAAACAGAAGAAAAAGAATAAGGTCAAGTAATTAGAGTGGGGTGCAGCAAAGAATATGGCCAAATTACAAGATTTGATTTGATGGTGGGGTTTGGGAGGTAAACAAGTTATTCCAAATTCGAAAAATATTAAAAAGGGTATTAAAGATGATTATTTAATTAATTTTGTTTTACAAGAGGGGAACAACATCTGTTGTTACAGACACAGACACTGAGACACACATGCTTTGACTAACGCATTGCAACTTATAAAATAATATATATATATATATATATATATATATATGTATGTATGCACATATAATAAACATGCATTATAATTTATCTTATGCTACACTGTTCCATATTACCGGACAATTTTTTCATTATACCAGTGTTATAAAAAACGCACCTCGATGAGTACTTAGGTGGCTTCGGAGGAGGGACGGAGGTGGAAACGCCTCTACCTAGGGATAGTAGGTGAAAACTCGCCTAGACGTGGTTAAGGAGCGTCTTAGGGACTGCTATGGCGGTCGAAATCCTTGCTTGAAATTTTAAGGGCACCCCTCGAAGTAAGGTTGGGCTTCTGAAGTTGTGTCCTTCATTATTATTATTATTATTATTTTTTCTGTTGTAGAGGCAGCATCTTCATGAAAAAGACGATCGTAAAGAAGAAGAAGAAGATTTTTGGCCCGAAACGAAATCGTTTTGAGCTAAGTTTTGTAATCTTTTTTATAACCCACAATAGTCCCCAATTATTTACATCACGTGGGCTTCACCTAAAACCTCAAGACTTTCAGTTAGTTGGAGTTATCGATGAAACGCCTTGGCTTTGCCTCCGTCTTTTAAAACATTATACTATCCAAAAATTGCATGTCCATCTAATTCTCATATGAAAAAAATGTTGAGATTACTGTCAGGGCATTTGAAGTAGTGATTTTACATTCTAACTTGTAATGCAAGTGATTATTTGGGATAGTTGTAACCACTGTCTTATATGCCCATTTAACAAGTATATCGATAATTACATAATCAAAGTATCCGTATTATAATCAATACGCACGAAAAATATGTCAATAGTCAATAACGTACCGATATAATTAACATGCCAATTGTATTGTAGGTGATGAAACTGTGTTTTTTTGTTTTGTTTTTGGTCGTAGGGCACAAGCAACGAAGCAATCATAGAGTATACGATGAACCTATATATATATATATATATATATATCTGTCCATCATAAACCCTAGTTCAAATGACATCATGCAAACTTTTCGTGCCAATAAAAAGCAATTTCAAAAACCCAAAAATTTCGGCCCTTATCTATTTTCTACAGAAAAATAAAAAAGTTCGGAGCCTGAAGCCACCCCACCCCTCGTTTTTAGGCTGGCAAATGCATCCAACAACACAAAGATTTTTAGAGAGAGAAAGTAGGGAGAGAGAGAGAGAGAGAGGGAGAGTGTTTTGGCTTTTGGAGATTCTTATCTTGTGAACTTGAAAACGAAACAACAGCTAGCTCAGACGACGATAGTTGGTTTTCGTTTTAGAAAAAAAAGGGATTGGATTGGATTTGTTTTTACGTTTTTAAAAATTAAAAAAAAAAAAAAGGATTGGATTGGATATGTTTTTGCGTTTTATAAAAAGTTTTAAAAAGTTTTTTTTTGAAAAAAGCTGGAGGAGGGGAATCGGATTTCGTGGGGAAGGGGAGGGAATGTCATGCTGGTGGTGGGAAACCGGGAAGTGGGAATATATGTTGCAAAGCAGAAGCCGAAAGCTCTAATTAAACACCCGCACGTGTCTTCCCTTTCTTTGACTTTTTGACCCACACTTTTTACCACTTTGGTCCCCCCTCTTTCCACTTATTTACCTCCCACTGCCACAGTCCGCTTCACTTGGGCAGCCTCTAATGTTAGTTATACTTTTAAAATGACTGAAAACGTTTTTGGTGAAAATATTTTTAGAACCAATATTTAGTAAAGATGCACGTAAATATTGAAATAGCACTGCTTCCTGAAAGAAGCACATAACTGATATTTTTTACAGAAAACATTTAAATGCTTTTGAAATCCAATTTTTTCTATATCTAAAAGAATTTTCAATCATTTTAAAAAGACATTCACACCAACTAATATTCCCTTACTTTCCCCTCTCACAAACAAAAACAAAAAATAAAAAGGGAAGGACAAGTAATGTAATTAAATGCTCCGTCAACTTCTCTGAAAAAATGTAACCGTAATTCAGCTCATTAACTTGCCCCCGGTCCCACATACCTGTGACGTTTCACTGTGGATTACCAACAATGACCTTCTCTTGACCAAAAGTTAAATCAACCAAGTTTCCAAAAAAAGATAAAAAAATAAAAAGTTAAATCAACCATCTTCTGGTTCTGTGCATAAATAGCTCTTGGTCGTTCATGTATTGCAATACAAGAGCATCTTTAAATAAGACTGTCAAATTTAAAATATTAAATTTTAATTTGATATCTGATTTGTTAATTTGATATATTGTCAATATTGTTTTTTCACTTGATATGCCATATTTATTGCTTCATTCATGTTTTTTTTTAACAAAAATAATAAAAGTTGAGTTGTTGTTGGTTTAAAAATAATAATATAATATTTAAATATGCTAACATTTAAGGTAAGTCGAGTGGAATGTCTTTTCGACAAAAAAAAAATGTGGAATGCTGTTGGAAATAGCAAAAATAAAATTTGAAAGCAGCTTCAAATTTGACATCTCTTTGTCCATGTCATCTTTTGATATCTCGATTCAAATTTGACCTCATATTTTTGGCACAATTATCATGTCAAACATTATAAAATGTTGTACAAAAAAAAAAAGAGGTTACGGAAAGTCTCACTTTGAGAGAGTCTTTTTATCATTTATCTTGCAAAATTCCTTAACCAAAAGTTAAGCTACTGAACTTTCACAATTAGTTATGTGCGTGAGTAGTTCTCAGTTGTTGATGTAAGTAGATTTTCTAATGCGTAAACAATTACATTCACTAACGCATAAATGGCCCATTGTTGTTTTGCCAGAACTCGTGTTAGTTAAACTAGAGAGCTCCATTTGGACTTTTACCTACAACCCAAGTATGGTAATGACAGTTGCTCGCATGCACGAGAGTTTATTAGATTTTGAAGCAAATGGACGCTACAATGCATCAATGACTATGTGTAACTGTGTCTCTAACGCTGTCGTGGACAACTGTTGCCATCACATAAGTTAAGAGTAGTACACTAAAGACCGATTTGTTAATGATGACATTTGTTCGGACGCACATAAACAATAACGAACCGTAAATTTGTATAACTCAGTTCAATTAAAGTTACTAATAAAATCCCGTGACGGGAAATACACTGAAATAAAATTCTGCGTCAAACCCAATGATCAACATGTCACAATTGAATGCTGATGTTATGAGGTTCTCATTCACAGTCATATAGAGTCCCATAGAGGTCATAGAGTATCCTTTCCTTGGGCCCCAAAAAACAAACCACTCATAAAAAAGATTTGCCGTACAACAATGGCATGGACAAAAGCGTCTTTTCAATGTTGAAGGAGGACAGCGGCCCCAAATGGGGAGAGGGCAAATGCGTAATATCGTATATAGACTGTTTAAAGAGAGGGTAGAGAGAGAGAGGCAGGCTGGCCGACGACAGCAGAGAGAGCGTCACAGAGAGGCTTTGCATGTTGTTCTTTCTCTTTTTTTTTTTTTTTTTTCTGAGTGTTCTCTCTCACTTTATATCTCTGCAACTTTACTTTATTATTCCTTCTTCTTCTCCTCTTTGGATTTCTGGGTTTTTTTGGTTTGTGTGGAAGTAATCTGAGCAGCTCAGTTCACAGGAGGATTCAACAATGGCTGACATTACCCACCCTCCCATGGATCAGCTCCAAGACCTGGAGTACTGCATAGACTCCAACCCTCCTTGGGGTACTCTCTCCTCTCTCTCTGTTTTTCAGAATATCTGAGTTCTGTGGGTGAAATAACAAATGGGGTTCTTTGGATTTTTCAAGTCGGTTGGGGTTAGCTATCTCTGCCTCTGTCTAAGCATCAATCTCCATTTTTGTTGATCTGGGTTTTGGTTTTTGAAGCCAAAGGTTATTGGGTAAGAGAAAAGTGAGGGGTTTTTGCTTTCAAGGTGTTTGCTTTGGTGGCTTCAATGGCTGCTGAGATTATATTTACTGGTATTTGAAATTTCTTCAGAGAGTATGAATTCAAGCAATGTCGCACTACTTTTTTCTTTAGGTGTATTTTTTGAGTGTCTGAGTTGTTGAGTTCTGTGAGTAATTAGAAAATCTGGGAATTTGAACATTTACCATATCGAGAGACTGGTGGGGAATGTGATTTTATTATCCAGAAGTTGGAACAAATATAAAAACTTATATGCCTTGTCTGGTTGCTGGGAATATTAAATTTGTAATTACTGGTGAAATGCAGCAACTCATTAGGAAATACTAATGAGGAGAGGAGGGTTCTCATTACCATTTTGCCCACCAGGGCAGAGCTTCTCCGCTGCTTGTGGAGCAGTTGGAGTTGTGAATCATGCTTTAGACATGGCATCTAATGGTCAATGTGTGCATTTTTAAGGATTAGGGGTGGTGGGAAAGTATGCAATTTGTTTGCTTGATCATTCATTTGTATTTATTTGTTGAAGATTTTGTCTTGCAGCTGAAACCATACTTCTAGCATTTCAAAACTACATCATGATGCTTGGTACGAGTGTAATGATTCCTTCGGCGCTGGTCCCTGCAATGGGAGGAAGTGATGTAAGCCAATCTTAGTGCAAACCAACAAATTTATTCTGGCAATCTTGTTTGGTCACTCTGTTATTTCTTTTAAATACCGTTTTCTTGATCATGACCAGGGTGACAAAGCACGAGTCATACAAACGCTACTCTTTGTTGCTGGAATTAACACCCTTCTCCAAGCGCTTTTCGGAACCAGGTTGCCTGCGGTAGTTGGGGGGTCCTTTTCTTATGTCATTCCCATAGCTTATATTGTGAGCGACCACAAATTGCAACGGATTGCTGAACCTCATGAAGTAAGTAACTCTCCTAGTACTCTTCACCATATGCAGTGTGTCTGGGATGCTTGTGGAAATAAATATATGCACCAAAAATTTCATGACATTATAGCGCACGTATTGGGGACGAATTGCATGCTGATTTACTGGCAGCTGGATCTGGAAGATCAAGTACCTGAGTTTGAGAGTAATATGCAGAAATGTAGCTTCATTGCAAGCTTACCCTGCAAAATGCGATGTCTCCCAAATGTGGATCATTTTAAGGCTGAATAGGAGGGGGAATGAGTGCATGCGATTCATAAGTTTTGTGACTTTAGATATTACAATTCATGTCAACGGAAACCTCAATCCCATCAGATATTTATGCCTTGATTTCCTATTTAGCAGTTGTACTTTAGCACCTTTCTTATTTGATAGGGTATTGAAAGAGATCTTCCCATGTCATGGGTTTGCAGAGATTTATACAAACAATGCGTGCCATCCAAGGAGCTCTAATTGTAGCCTCCAGCATACAAATCATTCTGGGTTACAGCCAAGTTTGGGGTCTTTTCTCAAGGTATGGCGATACTAGAAAATGTAAAAAAAAAAAAAAAAGCTCCTATTCTGTAATTGATTGATTTAGCACCATACGGGTTATCTTGCAGGTTTTTCAGTCCACTTGGCATGGCACCTGTAGTTGGATTGGTTGGCTTGGGATTGTTTGAACGGGGTTTTCCTGCGGTAAGTTTTTCTATGAGAGGCAATTTATCATTCCCTTAGGTTGACCCCGGAGGAGCTTCTATGCCACATAGTTTGTGTCTCATTTGGTGCAGCATTTCTTTTTCTAGAGAATCACAAAACTTTCGTCCATTTGTTCTAGAATATCCCACAATTCTGGAATTTTACTTAAAGAAGACCCCATTAAGCACTTCAGCATATTGTAAACATTTTGCCATAGGATATTTTCACTCTCAATGAATTTTGTATATCCCATATTTTCCTCCAGAACCTCTCCCCCTTTAATGAACTTTTCTAATATATCTAAATTGTCATGTAATAAGTCCTTTTTCGACCACAAAATTTAAAACTTGGTGAGAACTGAACCACATTACGTTTCTAAATAAGCATACTTCATCTAGCTTGGTTTTTTACTATATGCTACGGAAACCACATATTCCGTTTGCTATCTTTATGTTAATTTTTTGGAAAATTATGCAAGTATATAATCTCTATGTTTGTTTCAGTTGGGAAATTGTGTGGAAATTGGAATTCCGATGCTGTTGTTGGTAATTGGGTTGTCTCAAGTAAGTGATTTTCTATTAAAATTGCATTGACACGTCTACTAATCGTTTCTGTCCTTGACGAAAGTTTGTCTTTGTTTATTCTCAGTATCTGAAGCATGTGAGACCATTTAGAGATGTCCCTATTTTTGAACGGTTTCCAGTATTGTTTTGTGTCACGATCATTTGGATCTATTCCCTTATCTTAACCGCCGGTGGGGCTTACCGTGACAAGCCTGTTAGAACCCAAATCAGCTGCCGCACAGACAGGGAAAATCTCATATCTACTGCCCCATGGTATGTCAAAGAAGAATTTGCCTTCTCATCATGCTTCTGAACTCTTTTTGGTTTTAAGATCTTTATTCCGCCATTTTAGGTTCAAGTTCCCATATCCTCTGCAGTGGGGTCCTCCTACATTTTCAGCAGGTCACTCATGTGCAATGATGTCCGCAGTTCTTGTTTCAATGGTTGAGGTATTTATTCAATTTTTGAAATGTGGTTTTCATTCATGATACGCAACGCTTTATTGCTTCACTTATCAACAGCAGCCTCCTTAGTGTGCCATGTTGGTTATGTGTCTTAAGATTTGGGAATATGTCGGTTTCCTGACAATTGCTTATATGGTGCAGTCAACTGCTGCGTACAAGGCAGCATCAAGATTGGCAATTGCCACTCCTCCTCCTGCTTATGTATTGAGCCGGGGAATTGGCTGGCAGGTGAATGAATTTTGAAACACCTGCTTTTGTTATCTATCATGGATTGAGCTTGATAAATCTTTCATTCATCATGCTAGCATCTTGGAGATAACTTTAATCAGAAATTTTAACATATTTTTCAGGGCATCGGTATTTTGCTTGACGGACTTTTTGGTACGGGCACTGGTTCTACTGTTTCTGTGTAAGACACCACAATAGATTGCTGCAAAGTTTAGTTTGTTGCCTTCTCTGCCATTTAAAATTAGCTTGACTAAGATCAGGTTTATGCTTACCAGGGAAAATGTCGGACTTCTTGGACTAACCCGAGTTGGAAGTCGTAGAGTTGTTCAAATTTCTGCTGCATTCATGATATTCTTCTCAACCTTAGGTCAGTATTTAACTCTCTGACATTCAAGGAGGTTTAGAGCACGATCGAGATTCAGATTTGATTTCCTCTCTAATCCGTTTGTAGGTAAATTTGGGGCTGTATTTGCATCGATACCCTTCCCGATATATGCAGCTTTATACTGTGTTCTCTTCGGCCTCGTGGGTATGTCATGAGCCTAAGTAAGCTTCCTAATCATTTCCTTCTTTCACTCTCTTCACAAACATTACTTGCCTGTTTGCAGCTTCGGTAGGGTTATCATTTCTTCAATTCACAAACATGAATTCTATGAGAAACCTCATCATCACCGGGCTCTCTCTCTTCCTTGGGATATCTGTCCCTCGCTTTTTCAACGAATATTGGAACCCCTCGCACCATGGTCTCGTCCATACCAATGCTGGATGGGTGAGTAGCATCCTAACAAACTCTAGCATTCTGGTTAAGTTCTAAAGACATATTGGCATATCTTGTCGATGAAGTAATACATATCGATCCCGTTAAATGCAAAATGTGATGCCATTTCGTGTGTGTTTGCAGTTCAATGCATTCCTGAACACTATATTCTCATCTCCTCCAACCGTGGGGCTAATCGTGGCGGTGTTTCTTGACAACACTTTAGAGGTGGAAAAATCGAAGAAGGACAGAGGGATGCCGTGGTGGGTTAAGTTCAGAACATTCAGAGGAGACAACAGAAATGAAGAGTTCTACACGTTGCCGTTTAACCTCAACAGATTCTTCCCGCCTACATAGCAGCCGGCCGGCACGATCAACGGAAGTTGAGTGAGATCAAGAGCTCCACCCAAGCTTATCTAATTGCAAATTAACAATGATTAATCAGGTTGATTAGAGTAGTAATATATGATCCGAGGATAATTAATTTTAGCAAATGGGAATTTTATTTTATTTTTAATTCGGCTTGTCAATTTTTGGGGACCTTTGTGTCATAGGGTTCAGTTAAAGGTAGGGGAGATTGTAGGGCAATTGGTTGGTCCATATGCTGCTTTTTGTAGACTCAAATAATAAAGGAATATATTCTCCTTCTCTTAACCAACAGCTTTGAAAAAGCATTAAATTATATCGTAATCAAGTATCATCATGCGCCTTGTGTTCTCGGTACATAAATTTGTTTGTTTAAATGAGTTATATAAGTACACTTTGTTAAATGAGTTATATAAGTACACTTTGGTAGTGGGTTTCCACGACAAAAAGCACTTCTGACAATTTTGCACATAACATGAGAGTTTTTTCACTGTGAAAAAGCTCATACCAAGTGATATTTCAACAAGGGCTTAGGGTTTAAGGACTTCCAAATCCTTATTCAATAAGCACTTGGGGTTTTAGTAAAGGAAAAATTAGGTTCTCATCCTTCCTTTTACTACTCCATTGATTAAAATCCTATTCATTTTCAATTTTTGATCAAGGTCCTTGGTATTATTAAATCATTCATTATTTCAATAATAAAATATTTTTTATTTCTAAATATATTCATTTAATGTTAAAAATGTTACAATTAGTATATTTATATTTATGACTAAATTTTTTGTCATATATTTTTAGCTTTAGTTTGTATCCATTTTTAATTTGTAATTTTTTTTTAATTTGTACCAATTTCTTTTCAATTTTAATTTGTACTCATATATTAATTTCTTTTTGTGCCCATATTTTTTAAAGCTTATTTGTATTTGTACCCATATATTTTTTTATTTGTACTTTTTATTTTGCTAAATTTACCCATTCTAATTATATGTACCCATTCATGTAAAACTTTTTAATCTTAAAATGTACTCATTCTTAAATATAAAAATTTGTTATATGTAAAATGTACCCCTTTTTTAATATAAAATCTATTCAATTTTTTTCTAATCCATTTTTAAACTTATATGGGTACATTCTTTTTTCTTTGGTTTTAAAATGTATCTATGTCAAGTTTAACCAAAGAAATTTACTAATGTTATTAAGCCTAATATCTTTTTTTTTTTTGTGATTTTGAAGAATGTACCCATGTTTTGATTTTTTTGGTTAATTTTGATGAATGTACCCATGTTTACACACACACACACACACACACACACACAATAGTAGATTATATTTTAATATTTTTAATCCCACAAATTATGGTTTTTTTATTTAAAATCTCATTTATATAAACAACTAAAATTTCTAATTTTTAATTTAAAAAAAAATAGTAACGTACATAGAAATAAATTATCACATTAATTTCAGGGATCTCAATCAAAAATTAAAAACTAATAAGGTTTCAATCAAAGAATATTCATGACTAAGGACCGCATCCAAAGTCTCCCTTTAGTAAAACACTACCAACTAAAAGCTCGTTTAGATGTCTTTTTAAAAAGACTGAAAGCGATTTCGCTAAAAGTGTTTTAGGATTCAAAATGAACTTTAAATGTAGTTTGAAATGAGTACTAATTATGTGATTCTAAGCATTTCAATTGTTTTTTTTTTCTTTTCAAAATTCACTTAAATATATAATAAAAAAGTCCAATATTTTAAATTTAAATAAAAAAACCCCATTTAATTAAAAATATTTTTGAAGCCTCAGAAAGCCAGTTATTTGACATCAATAAAAATCAGTCGGTAATTCCAACTAAAACAAAATCCTCATAGGCTCATCCTTTAACAAAAGAATTTGTTTTATCAAAATTAAATAAAACTTCAAGAAACTTAAAAATGTAATCGCAGTAAAACGGCTCCGTGGACCAGTAAAAAATTAGGATCCACAGGTTCCTATCAGAATGCGAAACAGAAGATCCTCGCTCTCGGTTCAATCATAGCACAATACGGGTCACGGCTATTTAGCTACCGTCGTCACGGCATCGAACCTTTACAAAAATCTGATAAATACCGTTCCAAATCAAGCACGGCGGCGGCAAACCGGACCCGCACGCCAGTTTCCCGGCCAATAAACTAATCATTGGGGGATGGGAACGAGGCGGCCTCCGTTAGTGTCTGGGCGGCGCTGTATAACGTGTCATACGGCACTTCCTATCACTTCGGGCATTCTTCCTCATTGAAATCAATCGGAAAGAAGGTAAAAGATCCTGAAACCCTAGAAATAGACTGAGACACGAATTGGGAAGAGATGTGAGACTGCGTGAATACAGACAATTACCAAAGCGACATGCGAATTGGGAGGACGAGAGGGGTTTATATAGGGAAGGTGACGATGTTTGTAGAACCCTAATTGCCGCATGGCCTTTGTTTTGGCGGGTTGGGCTCTAATTTGGCCCAATTTTTCATTTTTTGTCTTTAATTAAAAGTAATTTACTTATAATACTTACACATATTTAATATAATCGTCATTTCAAAAGAAGTGTAAAACTCTGCCCATATAAAAAAGAAAAAACAAAACAAAACAAAACAAAAATTGCAAGAAGATTTCTCTGCCTGTTTCCAATCGTTCGGCTGCCACCTCCGATCGATTGCCTAGAATTCCTCTATTTTTGTTCGATCGACCGTCACTTCCAAATTTGTATCTAACACTTTAAATTTGAGCCGTAAATCACAACATGTTACTCGTTTATAATAATATAATTTTGAATCCTCCTTTCTATAGTTTATTAGCAAGGTTCTAAAAGATGTTAGGCGCTAGTTGGGTGGCGAGCTGGGGCCTAGCGCCTAGGAGGCTAGGCGGGCGCCTAGGTGGACTAGACGGATTTAACTAAATCTACTATATTTCATATAAATAAGTGTCTATTTATACTTAAAATATATATAATTTCACCATAAACTACAAAATAGAATGACATATATATTATGAGCTATTGGAACATAATGAAAACATGGGGAACAAGCATATAATGTGTGTTCATTCAAGTATTCAACATCTCTTACAAATTATTGGAAAAAATAAAATGTAAAATGAAAGTTATCTATCTTCTGTCTAAATGAGTGGCAACCTAGGCGGGTTTGAGCAGGCTAGGCGGGTGCCTAGGCGGTCTAGGCGGGCGCCTCAGTAGGTTTAGGCGTAATTTCTTAATTTTCAAACGTCTATATTAATCGGACGGTTACCAGCTGACTAATGCCTAGACAGAGATTTTTAGAACAATGTTTATTAGTTTAGACCTTCTATAAAACCATTGGGCCTTAAAAATTGGGCTGAAGAACGGGTCCTGCAGGTCCACCCGGCCTGCCAGAGGGCGTTCGTTGCGAACAGGTTTGAAATTTTCCAGCGCATTGCTGTCTCTGAAAGCAAGAACTCAGTGGAGAGAGACGACCAACAGAAGCAAATTGTGGTGGTTGCCGGAACGGCGTTGTTTGGGTGGCGCGGCAATGTCGATGGGGACTGACAGCACTTGGGTTGGGAAGAAACCGCTGCGGCGCATCGGCGGCATGTCTGACGCCCTCTCCATCGCTTCGGATCTCGGCTTCTCCGTTGCCGCTCCTCCTACTCAGGTAAACCCTCGCTCTCCTTTCTGCACATGTTGTCCTCCATGTCCAATTTCACTGTTTGGCTAGTTTGGACTTCGAATTAGCTCCAACCCATCGTGCTTTTACTCCCCATGTTTTAGCTTTTCCTACATTTTCCAGATTTATGAGCTTAATTTTGAAAACCCAATTGGAATTAAATAGTTATATATTAGTGGAAGAAGAAAGCTGATTACTTGGTTAAGTTTGTAATGTGGCAGCTTCCTGATTTGAATTTCAGAAAAGTTTGAATTTTACTTTTTTGATGTAGGAAGAGCTTCAGAACTTGTCCAGTAGTACTGGTGAAAAGGGTGATGACTTGATAAAGGTTCTAAGGGACCTTACCTCTGTACAGAGAAAAATAACCGATCTGCAAGTTGAACTCCAAGGGAGAAAGGTGAGCTGCTGGAGTCTCTTCTTTCGTGTTTCGAGTTTGCGAGGTTACCTTATCTGCTGAACTGGCTTGGGATTATATTGTCTGTAGGATGATAAAAACGTAGCACATTTGACACATGCGAGTGAAATGGAGAAGAAGTGCGAAACTTTAGCAAGGATCACTACCATTTTGAAAGATGTAATTCAAAATAAGGTAAATCGTTGTGGTACATTGTTGTTTTGTTATTGTAGTACATCTGATTTATTATTCGATTTGTTTATCTTTGTCAAATTCTGGATTGATCTAATATCTGTAATATCAAATGGACCATAGCATCTCTTTTCAAGCAATTGTTGCCTTTCCTATCAAGAATACGCTTTTGTATATATGTCCAGGCTAGTTGTGTTATAAACTGATGCTTTGGTTATCATGTTCTTTGAAAATTGAATTCTGGAAGAAAAAATTTAGAGTCTTATCATTCGTTGAGTTCCTTTTTATGCCACCTAGATTTGTGTAATTTATGTCATAAGTAGTTGACATAGTTCATATGCATGTTTAACTCTCAATAACAGCCCCTTCAAATTGTTTCTCAATAATTCCTCCGTGTTTGTTTTGTTTCAAATCACTGGCAGGATCGCATCATAGCCCGTCTTCAACAACCATATTCACTCGATTGCATTCCAGTAGAAGCAGAGTATCAGGTTGGCCATGGTTTGTGTTCAGCAGTGTAAAATCTCTTTGGTTTGGATTCATGTAGGTTGTCTTGTATTTTACATTCTAGGCTATGATTGTATCGGCCTTTTTTTTTTAACCCTTCTAAGTGTTTGTTACTAAATCCGTCTTATTTGGAAGGAGTTTAGATTCATCAAACAACTGTTGGGAACTTGGGACAAACTTAATCGTATGTCATATTGTAAATTTTGCAATAGAAAAGTATGAACCAATTTTTTTTAGCTGTTGTGGAAATATAAATCTGGGACGGACTGCTACAAGACTATTTGTATTTCTTGTGAAAAGACTGTTTTCTTTATGTTTGTGGAATCTTTTGCTTGGGACTGTGCAGAAACAGTTCTCTGAATTATTGATGAAGGCTGCTGGTGATTATGGGGCCTTGACAGCATCAGTTGCAGATTTCCAGTGGAGTCAGACATTTAAGGAGCCTCCTTCGGTTTGGGGGGTATGATTGCAGAAGCTTTTCGTTTCTAAATTACTTAGAATGCATGTAGCACGGTAGTTCTTTTTCCACGTTAGTTGCTTCAATTTTGAGAATATTCCTGATGTTGCTTTGTTTATAAGTTGTTGATGCACAAAACCGGAGGGTCTTGGAACAAGGTAAATCCGACCGTGAATCTGCAATAATGTAAATAACACAAGATGTATCATGGTTCATCCCAATATTTGGGTTACGTCCACACTAATATTGTATTTCTTTGTTTGTGAGTGGATTGTGAGAAAGAGTGAGCTTCTGAGGATGAAAATGAGGCTTTGCTCTGAATCTTAGAGCTTGAGGATTGTTAGGGTGAGGAGGTCTTTTTATAGACTAAGGGCTCCTCCCCTTTTTACATATTTGCATCTTCATTTATTATATAATTACATTTGAGTCCCCCGAGTATGTATACGAGATCTAAATACGGAGGCCTTAAGTATGGTACAAACAGTAGTCCCCCAAGTCTTCAGTCAAGAGAGTCTTTTGGCTGAAGACTTGAAATTCAGTCCATGTGTGGGCCGAAGTAACTAGATGTCGTCTAGAACTGAATACTCGATATGAGGCGGTGCTCAATGTGAAATGATGCTCAACTAGAAGTAGCACATGTTGCGAGGCTGCTCAGCTTGTGGCTTATGTTGCCTTTGGTTGGCTCGGCTTGTGGCGTTGAAGGTGAGGGAGTCCCTTTTATAGAATAAGGGATCGCTCCTCAATACATAAATGATAGGCTAGAGTTGATGCTCGCGGCGAGGCGGTTGCTCAGCAGGCGGCGAGGCGGTTGCTCAGCAGGCGGCGATGCTCTTTAATGATGATGAGGGAGTCCCTTTTATGGAATAAGGGGTCGCTCTTCAATACATAAATGATCGGTTAGGAGTGATGCTCGCGGCGAGGCGGTTGCTCAATAGGCGACGATGCTCTCCAATGAAGGTGAGGGGGTCCCTTTTATAAAATAAGGGCTCACTTCTCAGTACATAAATAATGGATGCTCTTTAATAAAAGTGATGGAGTCACTTTTATAGAATAAGGGTTCGCTCCTCAGTACATAAATAATGGATTAAGTCCCTCAAGTATTTTTCATGAAACCCAGTTAAGGCCCAATATATGGTACATAATGTAGTCCCCCAAGTTTTCAGTCAATAGGGTCTGTTGGTTGAAGACTTCAAATTGAATCCATGTATAGGCTGAAGTGGCGGTTGTTCGGATGCGGTATTTGTATACCCTGCATTGAAGCTTTGTAGGTGAAGCTTTGCAAGTGAAGCTTTGAAGCTAGAACTCTGTAAATGAAGATTTCAAAGCTGGAGTTTTTATAAATGAAGCTTTTGAAGTTAGAGCTCTGTAAATGAAGCTTTCGAAGCTGATTGACATGAATGATGCTCATGAATGTTGACATGAATGATGGCCATGAATGTTTATGTATGATTGACATGAGTGATGCTCATGTATAATTTTGGAGTACTGGACGTACTTTTGATCACCTAGTAGGTGATACTAGCAGCAGGCTGCCGAATAATGTTGGAGTACTGGGCGTACTTTTGATCACCTGGTTGGTGATAATAGCGGCAGGTTGCCGAATAATTTTTGTAGTACTGGACGTACTTTTGATCACCTGATTGGTAATAATAGCGGCAGGCTGCCGAATAATTTTGGAGTATTAGGCGTACTTTTGATCACCTGGTTGGTGATAATAACAGCAGGCTGCCGAATAATTTTGGAGTACTAGGCGTACTTTTGATCACCTGGTTGGTGATAATAACGGCAGGCTGCCGAATAATTTTGGAGTACTGGACGTACTTTTGATCACCTGGTTGGTGATAATAGCGGCAGGGTGCCGAATAA